TATTTTCAAAATTTGCTCTTTGCTCGAAAGTCATTTGTTGGGAAATCGAAAAAAAAAAAACGAATATCGGCCGAGTAGTGTTTAGCTCAGAGCGTAAAGAATTTTAATAATGTTGTTTAGAGTTTGTAGCAGTAGAAATTAGAAGTTTCTAGCCTCAAATATTTACAGATTTTTAGAAAAAAATAATTTTCATTGCAAATACCCAGTTTTGCAAATAAACATATAAAATAATAACAAACCGTATTTAATTCGACAAAAAACAAGGGATTTATTCATAAAAATAAAACTTTCAGATTTTCAGTTATATAAAAAAAAACGTTTAAACAAAAAAAATCATAAGCAGTCTTAATCAGTCATGCTCAAACAAAAAAACAATCATTTCCTCATTTTGACAACATTCCAAATCATCAACGATTTCTTCTGGTGAGGTAGAATCTGTCTTCAAGTGTTTCTTGTACAAATTTAGTTCAGGAAGGATTCTCCTATTTTCTCCATAGTGTTTGGAAAGAAGACTGTTAATAGTCCCTTGATCCTACTTTAATTTATTCCAGTGGTAATTTCGTAGGAGCCATTGAAAAAAGGTTTACCTTCACCCTCATCAGCGAACAAACGTACTATTTCTATATTGACATAAAAATCAAAATCATTTAGAGCATGTCGCAAAGCTGACGCTATTTTGTTAGAATCTTTTTGAGAGTCAATTTCTGTCCACACGTCACAAAACACATGTGTTGGTCTTAGTTTATCGGTAGAAGTTCCAGCAACAACTGTAAAATTATTATAGTTTATTTGCTGGCTGAAATATGCAGCTTGATTAGGCGGTCTAGGCAATGCTAAGCTTTTTTGGCAAACGAACGAAAATTAAGTTGTTGGCTTTTGGACTTTTAAGAAGTTTGAAAAAAGCAAGAAGTTTTTGCTTTTACAATATAAACACGATGCTCAGTGGCTAACTTTTGTAGAACAGCTAAAGAAATAGCTACTTTCAACTGCTCCTTGTAGCTCGAAGCTACAAAGAAGCTCGAAAGTAATTATGAGTATCCAGTGAGTTCAAATTAATCAACCACATGCAGGAGGTAAACTACCCCTAGAGTTCCACTATATGGAACTCTTGATGGAATCAATCCAATAACCATTATCTAGCATTATTTTTATTATTACACATCGTTGCCAAATGTATAACAGTACGTCTTGAGAAGACATGCGTTTTTGGTTTAAATAAATAAGATGATATTGTTCTGAAGCTATTTCCTTGTGGCATTGTAAATTAATTACTATTAAACTGGGAATAAGCCACAATTAAAGATAAAAATACGTTTATTGATGTTTCAATTTCCACTTCGGAAATCGTTCTCAAAATACAAACAGTAAATTAAACAAATTTTGTTTTTTTTTTGTTACATAGTGAAAAATTCTTCTAATAATTTAATTTTATCTGACTCATTTATATTGACAATTTAGACATACATTATGCATTTTAAAGTAGATGACTTTAAAATGATAGTAAAATATTATAATACAATATTATATAATATTATATAATATAGTATAATACCTTATACAACATTAACAAAAGATCCAACAAAGCCTTTGGAAAACAAAATATATAGAACTTTATTCAAGTTTAAAGATGTTTTAACAAGTTATCAGAGAGGATTAATTACACCTCATTACAGTAAGACTCCTCATTTTTATGGAGTACCGAAAATTCATAAAACGAATATACCACTTAGACCCATTTGTAGTACCATGAATTCTCCTTGTAGTAAACTATCAAAATTTTTATTAAATATTTTAAAACCATTTACAAATAAAAATGACACATTCATAAAAAATACACAACATTTTTTAAATAAATTATCAAATATTGAATTTAATTCAAATAATACTTTGGTAAGTTTTGACATAAATAGTTTATTTACGAATGTGCCATTAAATAAGACTTTAAGTATAGTCAAGACAAAATTAGAGAGTGATGATTCATTGGCAACTAGAACAAGACTAAACATATCAGCTATAATGGAGTTATTAACATTATGTACTGATAATATATATTTTCAACTAAATAATGAATTCTATAAACAAAATTTTGGTCTAGCAATGGGCTCTAGTTTATCTCCATTCTTAGCCGATATATTTCTGGAAGATTTTGAAACAAATATCATTTCTAAACAAAATTTCAAACCCACAGTATGGTGGAGGTATGTAGATGATGTATTCTCAATATGGCCTCATGGATCAGAGTTGTTGGACACATTCCTAAATGATATAAACGATAAAGAAGAGACAATAACATTTACCATGGAGAAGGAATATAATAACACGCTACCTTTCCTGGATGTTTTAAGCTCTAAAACGATACTGGATATGAGACTCAGGTGTATAGAAAACCAACACACACCAATAGATATTTAAATTTTAAATCAAATCACAATATTAATGTAAAAAAGGGAATAATAAAATCCGTATACGATAGAGCAAAAATTAGTTGTTCTAAAGAAAATTCGTTCTTGGAGGAGAAACATTTGTTAACATCTGTTTTACTAAAAACCGATTATCCTTTATCGTTTATAATTAAGTAATTTTCAACAATCGATCGAATAGAACAGAACAACTTAGAACGAGATCCTACAGCATATACAAGGAATAATATGAGGAAAATATAACAATACCGTACATAAAAGGATTATCAGAAAAACTTAAAAGGATAGGAAATAAATTCAACATTTCGACAACATTCAAAACAACAAACACGTTGAGATCTATTTTGTTTAAAACCAAACCTAACAATGAACCAGAAAGGACAAAGAATTGCATTTATAAAATACATTGTGAATGCGATCAGTTTTATTTAGGTGAATCATCAAGGCCATTAAATGTTAGAATAAGTGAACATCAATCTTATATTAAAAATAGAGAATTTGATAGATCTCAAATATGTAAACACGCATAGGATAATGAACATAGGATTCAATGGAATAATTCAAATGTAGTCCTAAAAGAAACGGATGGTGAAAAAAGAAAAATCAAAGAAGCGACTCTAATTATGCTAAATGAGGCCAATTGTGTCGCAAATTCCTCGGCAGAATGTAGTAGGATCTGGTTACCAATATTGAAAGAGGAAGTTATTAATAAGAAAATACCAGTATTAGTAAGTCAGTAGCATATAGAGGATACATCATTTACGTTTTTTAAATAACGTAACATATAAAATCAGAATTTTGATGTTTGTTGAAGGTAAACTAAATTCACGAACAAATATTAATCACGAACGGGATAGTATTATGAGGTTTTTTTCCTGGTTTTGCCCTCATAATTTACTATAGAATCACTAACAGGAGAATTTTACTGTCATCATGTCATGTGTTTGTCTTTTTAAAGACGAATTACATGCTATGATTTTTTTCTGACGGATATTCTCAAGTTAAAGTTGATTTCATGTAATCGAATGAACTATCTTATAAGTAAAGTCGTCCCAGGAGCGCAACTCAACAATATTGGCATATTGGCAGTATCATTTTAAAGTCATCTACTTTAAAATGCATAATGTACGTCTAAATTGTCAATATAAATGAGTCAGATAAAATTAAATTATTAGAAGATATTTCCCTATGTAACAAAGAAAAAACAAAATTTGTTTAATTTACTGTTTGTATTTTGAGAACGATTTCCGAAGTGGAAATTGAAACATCAATAAACGTATTTTTATCTTTAATTGCGGCTTATCCCCAGTTAAATAGTAATTAAATAAGATGATATTAAAAAAATAGGTTTATAATAAGTTTATAATAAAACATGCGTATTAGCGAATATAAAGAGGCATTATACGCGAAATCAAATATTAACTCTCTTTTTCTATTTCGGTTTACTCTTTATAAATACAAGAAACCAATTCGCCAAGAATTTTTGGTTTTAGATGAGGAGATCTGTTGTGGAATGCAAATTTTAGATTTCCCATATCTCTCTTACATATTTAACATTTTCTGCTTTGCTTTGCAATTTATAGAAGGTACAGATTAAAGCAAAACTTTGAATTTTGATGTTCCCAATAGAAATCGTCGCATTTTAACTTTGATGATTTATTCTTAAGTGTCGCTATAGCGTCCATATTGAAGCCATTTTATAGTTGCTTCTTTTGACGCAAAATATTTGATTTTACTTTTAGAGCTTTTGTAGCAGCCGCTCTGATGATTCTTGGTAGAGTAAAATACGTATAAGTGAATATATAGAGTTACTATACGTAAAATTAATTGTCTTTTTGTGCTTATTCTGTAATCTTGCGGGCTTCCAAAAAAATGTTGATTATCAACTGCCCTAAAGCTTTTTGCAAAATTTAGGAAAACACCTATTGCAGACTTGCTTTTGTCTATCGTTTCAGATCCTAATATAGTTAAAGCTTCAACCCGTTCTGGCTGGAATGATTTGTAAAATCCTGGTCCAATTTCATTTTTTAAATTTAATTATTATTTTCAAAAAAATATTCTAATTTTTGTCACTTTAGGTTTAAACGTACTCAAACGTTTGGGGGGATTTAGGGCTGCACACCCCCCTTAAAATTTTTCTGTGCGCTTAGATTTTGTTGTTTCTTTTTTATGAAAAATGCTTTCAGAAAAAGAAAGTAACGTGTCCATTTTTATTACAAAATGCCAAGTAGTTTAGGAGATAATGCAAAAAAACAATTTTTATTTTGTAACTTCAAAGGGAAGGGCTGTTTTTTTTGTGTACACTTTTGTATTAAAGTAAGTTGGATTCAATCAATTTATTTTTGTCCCCGGAATGCGTGGTTTAATTTATGACATACCTTTTTGAAACACCCTGTATATGTAATGATGATTCTTTAACAATAAGTTAAAGCAATGAATTCCAAATAATAAGAATCAACAAAATATTATAATTTAACTAATACTGAAGAAAAACAAATTAAAATAAAAATTTTGTCGAAAATGTAATGTAATGTAATGTTTATATTTAATTCCCTGAAAAACTATATAATAGGAACTTACAGTGTGATTATTTTTGGCAAGATTAATAATAAATCCAGCCTCTTCCCATAGGCACTCCATTGTGATAAAAACCGAAACTTATTAACGACACCACAAGAAGCTAAAAATTATCACAAGTCCACAAAGAAAAAGTGTTCTAAATCGCAACCTCGGTTAACAAGCAACAATTAGCACCGTTCTACCTGCCAAGAAACTGAAAGTGTACCCAAGTATGAATTGTACTTAGACTGCATATGCGAAAATACTTCAAAACTCTTAAAAATGTTTGTTTAAAAGTGACAATCACCCCTCCATCGAGCTGGAAAAATTCAATTTGTTTCAAGCTGCAACTTCACCTTTCTTGGAGGGGATATTATGTCAGTGATGCATCTGTGAATGTATCAGGTACAATTGGGGAGAAGGGGCACTCATTGCATTTGTTTGTAATTGTGTTTTTTAGAAAAGCGACGTCAATCATATCGGTATGATTTATGAAAGAAATTATTAATTGACCAATTTCCTCGTAGGTAATTATTTCGTACGTAAATATTTTGTTTTCAAACGCTTCCGCAACTTCGGTGTCTGAATATTTTTATTAATTGGATCGCAAAGTCTATATATTATGTAAAACATTTATAGGTAAACAAATACTTGTTTTTGATTAGCAAGATTATTGAAATTTTGCGTTTGATTTTTCAAAATAAATATTTAAATACAAAATTAACTTAAAATAAAGAAATTAAAAAAAAGCGTACCTAAATACAGTGAGGAGGAAAATGACGGAACCAATTATTTTTTCGTAAATAAGCAATTTTGAAGGCAAATTATAAAACAGGTCGATATATATTTTTAAATTATGATTTTTTTATTCAACCTGACTTTTATTTCTGTTTTTATTAAACTTTTTTGGAAAAAAAAACTTTTACTCGCACTTTTCTGTTTAAACAGAAAGGGCATGTTTTTATTTATAAAAATAAAAAACTCCCATATTTTCTGAGTTCAACCGTACTAAACTCATCACATTTAAACTTCCGACTTTCGTTTTTACCTTGTTTAGGCTTTGTGCCTCTTCAAGAGTGGTATTGTTGGTTGGTGTGAGTCGCGAGCTGCCATTCTGCGATACAGGGTGTGACCGCTGTCAAGCAGGAGTGTCAGAAGAGATATTTCCGCCTTGTTGGAGCCGTGTGAACCAAGCCCGCTACTAAGTACAAGTTTCGTAGGAAAACAGTCCTTTTCAGATTGTTGGCCTTTTGTTTGTTTGGGTTAAACGCGCGAAGGATAGCTGTGGCTATGTCCTCTCCTAGGATCAGGTATCGTTGTGCAATGAGTTATGGAAACCACAGAAAACCAATCTCCGCCTGTCCTTGTGATTTGAGTTCGACTCTTAAGGAGTGTGTGTGGTGCTCACTGTTTGTTGTTTGGTGTTGTGATTAGGTGTTTATCGATATGGTATATTAGTGTAGTTACTGGTTGTGTGTTGTTGACTTTTTCTCTGGGTGTTTATATGTTTATGATTGTGAGCTCGGTGAAGGTAAAGTGTATATGTGGGTAAATGATAAAAATATGTTTGGATGATGTGTGTGGGTTAGGTAAGGTTAGGTTAGGTTAGGCCACAATCCTCAGACAATGGCTGCAATCAACCTTTGTAGCAATTCCCAAAAAACCAAGTTCAACAACTTGCTCAGACCACAGAACAATAGCTTTAATGAGTCACACACTTAAAACATTTTTGAAAATAATTCACAGCAGAATTGTCAAAACTCTTGAATATGAGATTAGTGACACACAATTTGGCTTTAGAAATGGTATGAGTACAAGAGATGCTTTGTTCGGCTTGAATGTGCTGGCTTAGAGATGCATGGACATGAATCAGGATATGTACTTATGTTTTGTAGACTTTGAAAAGGCATTTGATAAAGTTCAAATTAAAAAGCTTGTAGATATATTAAAAAGCAAAAATATTGACAGTCGTGATCTGAAAATTATATCTAATTTATATTGGAATCAAACTGCCAAGGTAAGAGTTGACAGCCAGTACACCGAAAATATCAAAATACAGAGAAGAGTCCGCCAGGGTTGCGTGCTGTCGCCACTACTTTTCAATGTCTACAGAGAAGCGGTATTTCAAGAAGCGCTCTCAGACTCAATAGAACGTATATCTATCAATGGAGAAGTTTTGAATAACTTACGTTTTGCAGACGATAAAGTAATAATTACGGATAACAACAATGATTTACAGAACCTAATGCAACGCCTTAATGAATGCTGTCATGAGTACGAACTGAAGATAAATTTAAAGAAAACTAAATGCATGATCATGACTAAATCTGCACATGCAAATATCCAATTGACTATTGAAGATACTGCAATTGAGAATGTTAATAACTATAAATATTTAGGAACATGGATAACATCAGATGTAGACCAAACCAAAGTAATTAAGACACGTATTGAAATAGCACGTACATCATTTATTAAACTTAGAAAGTTTCTTTGTTGTCGGGATATAAGGTTAGAACTACGCCTGAGAACTGGAAGCTTGGGCACTCAAACAAGTTCATCTGAATAAGCTGGCCGCCTTTGAATTTTGGTGTTACAGAAGAATCCTACGAATATCATGGATTCAAAGAATGTCAAACATGGAAGTAACTAGAAGGATAGGAAATGAGGCGGAAATAATATTAACTATTAAAAGACGAAAACTTGAGTACTTGGGACATGTGATGAGAGGGCAAAAATACGCATTATTACAACTAATTATGCATGGCAAAATCCGAGGAAAGCGAAATGTGGGAAGACGAAGAATATCCTGGCTTAAGAACTTAAGGGAATGGTTTGATTGCAGTAGTGCAGAACTTTTTAGAGCGGCAGTCCGCATAGCCATGATGATTTCCAACCTTCGATAGAAGATGGAACTTAAAGAAGAAGATGTGTGTGGATTATTAGCATGTGTATATTGGTATGCAGGTGGGTGTTGCGTGTTTAGGTGCGAAGTTGGTTGAAGGGTTGGTTTATTAGGTTATTATAACACGAGGTAGTTATAACGTATCCATATAGTGTGTTGGACATTTGGTTGAGATAACGGATAGGGTCGCTCCTCTTTTCATGGTAGATCAAAAAGGATCATGGAAGTGAAATGAATTAAGGAATTCATATCTGGTGAACAGTTGTATGAGGAGATTTCTTTAGGTGAGTAAACGGGTTGGGTTTGTATATAGTTTTTGGGTTATGTGTTGCAGTGTTGACATCTTGGTGGGAAGGCGGGATGGGGTCCATTGCAGTTTGGGCATTTTGGAGCATATATCGTGGGACATGCAGTAGACCTGTGTTGTTGTCCACAGACTGGACAAGTCAATGATTTTTCTGGTCATTCGTTGCTGAGATGTCCGCTTTTGCAGCATTTCGAACAGTATAGTAGTCAAACCGGAACGGGATTGTTAGATTTTGGAATCTAACAATTTAGCCGTTTTTTCTCGATCTTGATGCCGTTCGAAAGTGCATCGGCGAATTTAGATTCGGAGTTCGTGAAAACTCTGATATATGGGTTGGTTTTTGGAGCGGGCAATTATTCGAACTATTGTAGTAAAAGAAAATCTCTTTTGGATAGGTCATCCTCAATGATTTTCGGGAAAGGTTTTTGTCGACTCCGACTATGACTAGGTGAAAGATTTGTGGATCGTTTGCAGTGGGATGAGGATTATGAAGTTTGCTAGATTTGAATCCTGAATTTAATAAGATGATATTATATCGAGTGATTTTTCGGAGTTTTTCCGTGAGGTTGTGATGGTCTAGGAGTGCGATAGTTCGCACGGAGGCTGCCTTTTGGGATGGGAGGACTTTGATGTTTATGATGTTTATGTGAATTCTCATAAGCCTCCATATGCCAACTCAGATATTGATGATGTCTATAATCAAATGTCCACATTCCTTAAAAAACATCCTGACCTGATGGTATTAATCAGTGACAAAGGTAATGCAATAGTACTAATCATTAGAGAGCAATACTTAAACCTGATCCAACAACTTCTAGATGATAATAAATATTATCAGCCACTTCTCCGAAATCCCACCTCAACTTACACAAGTAAGATAAATAAATTCATCACTGAACTAAAAAATAAAAAAATCATCGATGATTCGATGCCAAACTAGCCAAATTCCTCCATAACTATAATTTCAATGCCCCCAGGTTCTATTGTCTTTCTAAAATCCATAAGCCCCAACTGAGTATGCGTCCTATATTATCGTCAATAAACGCTCCTAACACTAATTTAGCCCAATGCTTAACGGACATTCTTTCACAAGCCTACAACTACAAGGATAATTTCAACATAGTCGAATCTTTCCAATTTATGGGTCTTACTTTGTCTGCTTAAACAGTTTATTCATTAAAAAAAAAACAGAGACATGGAATATTGGCATAATTACTGTAATTTATATTATTTATCTTTTTAAGACAACACCCTAATATTAGTTTTATTATTTCAGCATTTAATTAACTTTGTATCGACAGACCTGAAGATGCTTTGCAAATTGTAGAAAGCGAAATCCCTTAAAGGGCCCTTAAATTTTCGGTATCGCGTCACGTCGTTTGCATAGATTGCAATGGATTGCAATAAATCAGTACTTTGTCTTCAGTATAGAACCATCTCTAAATGAAGCCAAATGTCCGTTTGAACTTTTTAAATCTTCGTATTTTCGAATACGAACATTATAATCTCCAGAGTTTGTCTGTTTTTTGTTTTTTTTTTTAATTTATTTAGTTTTAAATGTTGAGTAAATTTTACAGTACATATAACATCGATAATATACTACATATTGAGTTATAAGTTATGAACTATTAATACCTGTATTTCCTACAAACTCTATGTCATCTGTTGTACTTTAGAGAACTGATGAAGCTTTAGAAATATAAAGCGAAACATCTTCTTTTTAATCAAAAATACACCTTTCTAATTTTTGTAAGCTAGTTCGCATTATACAACAAAAACTGTTGAGACGTTTGGCCATTTAACGTAATTTGTTAAGGCCTGTTTAACCAAATATTGTTTTAACACTAAAATATAAACAAATAAAGGATGATACACTTTTCTTGAATAATATTTTTAGAAGACTTAAATCTACCTACCAAAATAGTGATTGGTAAAATTATTGGGAAAGTGTTTTATCTTTGGTTTATATTATTTTTATTAGCACACAATGTTATTTTGTATAAAATCTTAAACCAAAGCTTAAGTAAGTATTGCGGTTTATCTGATAATCA